CTGTACTTTGTTGTGCAATACACGATGAGCATCACACCTCGCACAAAACATGAAGCACACCTTCACGTGTGCAGCACACCACGTAGTACACCTTTACATGTTGCGCAACACACGTTTGTGTGACACACAAACACACCTTCACACCCATGACACACATTTATGAACCTCACATGGACTTTGTAAGTACATGAATTGTTTTTTTGTGACTTTTGTTCTTGAAACAGACAATTTTGACATGTCACCCCTTGTTGACCTAAAGAAGGAAGCTTTGAGTATCCCTAAGATGCCGGCGAACTTAAAGATCTCCAAGGTTAGCAGGAAAGTTAATATGATGGCACACGAGATTGCGAAGTTTAGTTTTATTAATAAGTATGATGGTGTTCTTATTAATAGTGCTACGTCCTGTGTGGCAAATTCTGTAACGAATGATTGTATGAATATTTTATTTTAATTAATACATGGGTGGGCTTTTCCAAAAAATAAGTACATGATTTTTTCAATACATGAGCATTTTTCAAATATGCAAGGAACATTTTTGTATACTTGAACATTTTTGAATATCTGAATACTGCAAATACTTACATGTGCACATGTGCACATCTTTTATAAAATACACAAATATATTTTTATAAAAACATTTATGTTCACATGAGATCATCATTTCTAGTGCGTACATAGACAGATTTACATTGAGATACTTGAACATGTATTCCCTTTTTTGCAATGTAGAAAAGTTTAAATATTTAAACTTATTTTAGAAATGTTTTTAAAACATATTTCTGAAAAATACTTTTGTTGTCTTTTTTTGCGGGGAATTCAGAGAACTTTATTCAACAAAAACGCTCCTGGGGTAGTCAGCCATTAGGCTTGTGACCAGGAAGGAAGGTGCCAAGCTCAGCCAACCTTCGGTAACCATCAGCGCAGAAGCATGTTTTGCGCAGAGATGGGCCGGTTGATTGGCTGATCTGTGTACATGCTGAATTACAAAAGATGAAAAAATGTAGCTAGTTATCCAATTTCATGAAGGATCGGTGCCACAACCGACAAGGAGTTGCGACGAGAATTCCATTGATTGACAAGTTCTTGACAATCTGTCTCCAATATCACATGTGGAAAGCCTCGGAGTTGAGCAAATATCATGCATTCTCGCAGAGCCAACGCCTCAGTGATGAACGGGTCTGTTACTCCTTCAAAAGGTTTTGCTCCATGCACCAAGGAAAGAGGATGGCGACCTTGCCACTCTACCAACGCCAGCTTTGTTTGCATCAAAATTTGGAGCGGCGTCAGTGTTGATTTTAACACACCCTTCTGTAGGAGGGTGCTATCCATACCCTGGTAAAAATTTTGCATGCTCATTAGGGATGTCTAGTAGTGCTAAATCCTCTTCAATGCGCCTCATTGAGAACACTGGATCAATCTGCTGCATCGTGTATCAAGCAATTTCTGAAGAGCCAGATTGATTGATGCATGCATTATTGCATTGCTCACATGTCAAGAGATTCTGAGCTGAAGCATGTTTGTTATTGGACGTTTGGATGCCTCGACTCCATCTTGTTACTTGGTCGTGTGATATCCTATGTGAGGACTGGTTCAATGACGCGACCAAGTAATAGGATGGAGTCGAGGCATCCAAACGTCCAATAACAAACATGCTTCAACTTAGAATCTCTTGGCATGTGAGCAATGCAATAATGTATGCATCAAGTCCTCTTCCATAGCAAAACACACCCGGCAAGTGTTGGATTCTTTTATGTGACGACGTTGTAAAGAACATTCATCAGATAAAATGCCTCTTACAACCCGTCACCAAAATACCCTCACTTTAGGCATCACCTTGAGCTTCCAAAGAGTTTTCCACATTTTGTTGTTCTGTCAGTGAGGTGCCCGTACCAGTCCCTTCCTCTAGAGCATGCCGCTCTTTTTGATTCACAAGAGTACGATACGTAGATTTAACAAAGTAGATACCCGACATTTTAGGCGCCCAAGCAAAATAATCTTCTCCCCCACTAGACTGGAGCGGAATGTTGAGGATTGCCGCCGTGTCAGGTTACTCCGAACTAACTCAGTCCGCCAAGTCCAATTGTCAGTATCAAATCAATTCACTCACCATCTCCAAAATTGTACGTGGAGGCTTGAACATTGGACCAAGTGTTAAACTCCCTGCCCCCCTTTAGCATATTTTGATTCTTTTCTAAGAAGTATAGCTGGCCAAATGGGCCGGTTTTTTCGGGCCGGCCCGTGAGCACGCCGGCATAGCCCGCCTTGGGCCAGGCACGTCACGCGTCACGCCTTGGGCCGTGCCTGGGCCTGGAGGCTGGGCACGCGGGCCGGCACGGCATGACCCGATTAAGTTTATTTTTATTTTTTTTATACATCTATATATGGCCCAACATGTAAAAATAGGTTAAAAACGCTCAGTGCGTCAAATAATAGGCTAAAAATGTGCGGCCCACCGTGCTAAACGGGCCAACGTGTCGGCCCGTTTACTAACTTTTTTTTTTAGGGATAATCCAAACTTTATTAACGATCAAAGACCACAGTTCGTGGAATACATCTTGGATTATGGGGATTACCTAGCCACACATGACGTCCAAGGCCTAAAGAAAGTGCATGTTTTGCTAAGCTATGCGCCTCAATATTAGAGTTTCGGTTTTCATACATGAAATTACACATAAGATGACGAGCTCTCCTTCGAATCTCCTTTATGACAGTACCATATTTCCCATTGTTTTATGAAGTTATATCGCCCACAACCTGCCTTGAGTCAGACGAGATAACCATATGATGGATGTGTAGGTCCTCCGCCAGTGATAATGCTTCCCGACACGCCAAAGCCTCAATAGTAGCAGGATCTGAGATGCCCTTGAGAACAATTGCAGAGCTTCCAAGATACTCCTCACGATCATCTCTGCATACTGCCGCTGTTGTACCACCCCATGACCGGCAACCGGCGTCAACATGGATCTTAGCTGACCCTGTCGGAGGCGCTTTTGGCCTGATTCTCGAACTCCCCCGCTGCACCGCACTTGCCCCTGTGGCTGGTTTCCTTTCATTTATAATGTCCAGATCCTCCAAGTATCTTTGTATAAATTCCTTCGTGCTATGGGGACTTTGAAAGATGCCCTCGTGGATTGCTTTCCATCGAGAAAACCAAATCGCCCATAATGTTACTGCTATCTTGATGAACTCTTACATTAGCAAGGTTTCCATCAAAGAAAAAAGCCAGCACTTAGCACTGGAGTCCGAATAAGCTAGTAAGTTGTTTGCCAGCTATTCGTCCGCAAGCGCCCACGTACATCTTGCGACCGTGCATTCTAAAAGCGAATGTCTCCAGGAATCTGGTGCCTCACATAGTGCACACGAACTTGACGTTAACATATGCCTATGGGCTCATACGTCCTCTGTCGGGATGGAGTGTTTCGACAGACGCCATAGAAACATCTTGATTTTCCCTGAAACTTGTATATTCCACAGACGTTTCCATGCTCCCTCTTCTCTGTTCGAGCTCGATGATCCGGCTGTACCCTCCAGCCAAGCCTCCCTTCTTCTTCTTGTGGACACTAACATATTATAAGCCGATCGTACTGTAAACATACAAGATCGCTCAAAGTTCCAGCTTCAAAAATCCTCCATATTCAGCGTACATATTGGGATGCTCAAGATTACAAGGATATCCATCGGCATAAAAACCTGCTGCACTTTCGCCAAGTACCATGTTGCAGATGTAGAGTCTATTAACTCAGACACAAATTCTGGAGGATTTTCCGAGATACACCCATAAGGACGTGCCTGGGCCTGGGGGCGCCGCACGCGGGCCGGGCCGGCCCGGCCCGTATAGTAATTGTGCCCTGGCGGGCCGTGCCGGGCCAGGCACGATTACGATGGGCCGGCCCGGCCCGTTTGGCCAGGTATGCTGAGAAGGCTGTGTCCGGCCCGGAGGCACACGTCGAAAGCCTAGCCCAACTCGGAGCCCGGTTCCTCTTCCTCCTCATCCCCTATATTCTTCGCCTCCTCCACATTTCTTCCTTCCGATCGAAGCCAACCTACCTCCGCCCGCTTGAGCTCGAGCGCATCCGCCGGAACCGAGGACGACTCTTCTCCACGCCGCCACCGCCGCCGCCGCCGCCGCCGCCGCCTCCTCTTCGGCCAAGCGGAGAACCGGTGCTTAGGTATTTACCAGTAACCCTCGACTCAGCTTCTCCGCCTCTTTTAACCCTTTGCCGGCACCGATCAATCTCTCCGGTACCTCCACCCGATTTCGCTCACGCACCGGTCCGTGCTTCGATGCGATTGCCATATCGTCAATCTAATCTGATCTCCTGAGCGGATAGATCCGTACTACGTGCATACCCTCGCCTGCTGCCAGTTCGTCCCTCAAGTACAGAAAAACGAAGTCTTTTTCTTTCTTTCATGCGTTTTGACGACGAGCAACCTCTCCCTGTAGTATTGTGCTAATTTAGTTGAAGTATATTGTGCTACGGAGTAGTAATTTACTTGACTCTGTCTCTGTGGACTCTGCATGTTCTGGAAGAATTTGTTAGTAGTGCTACCCCGGTTATCCTCCAGCAAGTCAGTAACCTTTGGGATTTGTGGAACTAAAGAACCCATTCACTCATAGTAGTACAGTAGGATCTGTAAATCTAATATCATGTAGAAATTGATTGTTTGGACTTTGGAGCCTGATTGCAGCTTTGTCCCCGTAAGATTAGTTGTCTTGGCTCAAATTGATTAACTTGACTACACCATATTGTGATCCTCTTTCCTGGCCCCTAGAAGCTACTACAGCTTATCAACATCGAATGTCTGCAAATGTGTATCAGCAGTTTTGAATAGGTCTCATGTCTTCTGGGTCATGAATAAAGTGTGTGATTGAATGTTCGTTTTTCCAGATTGATTATGGGTGACTGTGTTATTGTATTATCTGCTTATGTTCACCATCATTTTAATTAAATGTTCCTGTTCCTCATATGCAGGTTCAAAAGGGGTTAACCTTCTTGTCCATGAATATGGTAAGTCCTTTAGACAAATTTGATCTTCCTATTAGCTGTTTCGAACTATGTTAGCTTCAGGAGCACATCATCGAAATTCAGACCTACAAACTCCTTGATTGAACTTGTCGGCGACTAGCCATAGATTCAACTAATCTGTGTACCACATGTGTTGTTATTCTCAAACCATGGATATCTTCTGGATTTATGAGCTAGTACGTGCCTTCGTTATCAGTTTGCATCTTTGCTATGCATTTGGTAATCAGTTACAGTTTTGGACATACCAGCACCTTTTTGCCATGAATAGTTTCCCAGTAATTATCTATGGCTTCATCAATTGCTGAATCATGTTGCATGGTTCTAATACAGTTATTTGTTTTGACTAGTATTTTGAAGGCTATGGTTACCGTGGAAGTACTTTTGAGCAGACCTATCGCTGCTACCCTGCATCTTTTATTGACAAGGTATGTGAATCTTCTTTTCATGAGGTGCCTGCCATGTACCCCATTTGATAACTTGAAATATAAAATGTAGTGATATAGAAGTGTAATTTGATGTGACAAATTTGAATACTTTTCATACGTATTTGTAATCAACGTTATAACATGTTGATTGCAAGCAATTTAACAAGTAAAAATGATAATGGATGCGTTGTAAATTTGGAGTTGCAATCCTTTTGATATAGATCTTTATTTTCTAGTTCAAGTCAGTACCAATACAAACAAACTTTGCCCAGTGTTGATGCATGAGTTTTCATGCATTATCCACTTCTATAGTTCCATGGATCATGTGAGATCGGTATTTTCTCTGGAGTATTAATCTGATTTCTCGTCTATGTTCTGGTGGCATTGCTTCTGTCTGGTTAAGGAATGGTTAGAAATTGTATATCTACATGTTTTTTGTTCTCCCTCTCAACTGTGTTTGATTGTCGGCTTTTAATCTTGAGCATCTGATTATGACCCTTTCTGTTCCTAGTTAACATGATTTATAGGTTTTTTTTGACATGATTTATAGGTTGAGACAACTAAAAAGTGATTTCTCAGTAACTAAGTACATGCTGCCTGTCAGCATGTTTCCATTCACTTTGCGGCCTTGTCTCATTAATGTATAGAAGAATCTAGCGCGAAAATTGATATCTAAACACGGGTACTTTGTGCCCGTTATTTTGAAGTTCAAAAAACGAATTTGTACGGCTTGAAAAATTCCAAAATTTTGTGTGCATGCATGTATAGCAGTGCAGTATAGCGTGCCAAAATTTCACCAATATACATGCCTCCATGCGAGAGATACAAAAAAGACAAAATACATGCAAATTGGGGCCAGTTTTTTTATTTATTTTGGACCGAAATTTTGTCTTTTTTCTGCAGCGTACAATACAACAATTTTTTGAACGAAATTTCACACGTACTTAGACCACATGCATGCATATTCATGTAAAAAATTTCAATTTTTTTTAATGTTTTAAGCACTTGTTTTGGGGGGTTCAAAATAAAGTGCTCCTTTGCCCCCATGTTCTGAAAATACGTTTTAAATCTAGCGGAATTATTACTCTTCAAAGTAAAGTATTATTTTCCATGAATTTATCTGAAAGATCTTTTGTACCCTTTCTTGCAGCCACAGCTTGAATCTGGTGACAAAAGTATGCTCTCTCTTCACTAATTTCCTTGTGTCTTTAAGTTACTTTTGGCAGTTGAAATGATTATTACCTTTTTTCTTTTCAGTTATCATGCCACCTTCGGCACTTGATCGTCTTGGTAAGTTGGCAGTGTTAGTAAGAGGCATATGTTGATAGTTTACTTTGTTTCTGCGTTTATTCTGTGCACTATTTCCACTACATTCCATAGTTAAAGAAGGCGCGCCTAAGCGAGCGCTTAAGTGCGCCTAGGTTCTAGGCGATATCAAAACGGCTAGGACATAACTGCGCATAATTGTGCATAAGCATGCGCTTTGATCAGAAAAGCGCAAGGCGGTGGCAAAACGCACAATTAACGCCTAGCGCTTTTTTGAACTATGCTAAATTCTCAAATATATGTTACTTCCTCTGCAGCGTCTCTGCATATTGAGTACCCTATGCTATTTGAAGTACGCAACACAGCAGCAGAACGCACTTCACACTGTGGTGTCCTAGAGTTCATTGCAGAAGAAGGGATGATCTACATGCCATACTGGGTAGGCCCAGGTTTAAGATATTTTCACGCTTACTTTTATGTGATACCATCATCTCAATCAAACTAACTACCATGTACTCATCAGATGATGCAAAATCTTCTTTTGCAAGAAGGAGATATGGTGTTTATAAAAAATGCCAACCTCCCAAAGGGCACATATGTGAAGCTGCAGCCTCATACAACTGACTTCTTGGACATTTCAAATCCCAAAGCAATGTTAGTATTGTTCTGATAAAACTATTTCCTTTTCCTTGGGAACTTCTTTGCCTTATTTTGCTATGACTGTTGTCTGTTGCACCGTCACTGGAGTTTCCTTGTACGAGTAGTGTGAGATCTTAAGAATACTAATTTCCTTTTTTTTGCGAGGGAAGAATACTAATTTCCTGTTCATGTCATTATTGCAGCTTGGAAAAAACTTTGCGGAACTACTCTTGTCTAACCACTGGTGACAGCATTATGGTGGCATATAATAACAAGAAGTACTACATTGATATAGTTGAAACAAAGCCTGCCAGTGCTATAAGTATAATTGAGACTGATTGTGAGGTTGACTTTGCCCCACCACTTGACTATAAAGAACCTGAGCGACCAAAACCTACTGCTCCTCCCAGCGCTGATCCTGCTGCAGGTAGCTTTCTTGCTTCGTGCTTAACTGGCAACTTTTGGTGGAATGCATCAATATATCTTGCCGTTCATTAGTAAGGAAGGACCTGCATGTTGCTGTTGCAGAGGCTCAAGATGAGGAGGAACCAAAGTTCAGCCCCTTCACTGGTCCTGGAAGGCGCTTGGATGGGAAGCCTGCTAAAGATTTGGATGCATCATCCTCTTCGCCTGCAAAGCGACAAGCTAATGCAACCAACAGTGTTCAGCCCTCAGCAGCCTCCACACCACAGATCACGGCGCCACGTAAAACCACAGGAAAGCTTGTCTTTGGCTCTGGTGGAAGCCAGTCATCAAAAGGAACAGAAAAGGTTTGTGTTCTGTAACATGCAGCTTTTAAACGCTAGTGTCATCTTAACATCTTGTGCATCAATGCCAGGTGCCCGACAAGGATGCAAAGGAGGATCCGAAGAAAGAGGAGCCGAAGTTTTCAGCATTCACGGGAAAGAAGTACTCCTTGAAGGGCTGAATGCCAGAGTATGTATTTATCAGCACTTCCTGTCACAAACATCATCAGGGCTAAGAGTTCAGTCAGCTACTGTTTAGTTTCCTGATCCCTTGGGAGCTGGGGCATCTTTCGGTGGACTACCAATGCTTCTTTTCTGTCAACTGTGATCCTTATGTCAGCCGCCGTGGGTCAGTTTGGCTGATGTGTACAAAGTATTTCAATGTCTGTTCATGGATTCTTAGCGAGTTACTACACATTGCATTTGTTTGCGCTGTTAGTTCCTGCACCAGCACGTTTCTAGTTGATCATACTTTTCTTGTTTGATGGAAATAGCTCTTAACTTTATTTTACCCCCAAATGATAAGTGCCACACGTATGCCACTTATTAGGTCCTTCTAAAGGAAAAGAGCTCTTAGCAAGGATTAGTCGATATGTATTCGAGTGACAGTTACAATGATTTAGCTTGTTAGCTCTAAAGTGAGAAAAGTACATAATCCAAAAAAAAAAACTGGCTAGACGTTACTGATTAGTTCACCACAAACAAGAACTTTATTGATTAGTTCACCACAAAGCTTATCCAATGGTGCTTCTTCTACATGATGTTGGAGCAAAGGCACACGGTAGGTTGAAGATCTCACCTATGCACGTCTCAACCTGGGCATGGACAGCCTGGCCTGAGCCTGGCCTGAAAACCTGGGCCGGGCTTGGGCTTTGTTTTGCAGCCTGGAAGATAGTTTGGTCTGGGCTTGGGCTTTAATTTTTTTGTATTTTGGGCCGGGCTTGCACTGAAAACAGCATTTGGCCTGGGCTTTTGGGCTTCGGGCTTGTTTTTGGGCTGGGCTTGTGCTTGAATACAGGGAGTAATTTGGGCTTTGGGCTGGGCTCAGGCTTGAGAAATGAAGGTCGGGCTTTTACAAGCTTGGCCAAAGACCCGGCCCGGCCCGACGTTTGCCCGGGTTTATGCACGTCCTTAGCATCTACAATCAGAAATAAGGTAGAAAAGCCAACTCCAAAACACCATCCTTGCTTGAATTATTTGCGACATGGAGCAACGCTGTGAAAACATCGAGCAGCTGCATCCTAATCATAATTGTGCTCTGTTTTCGTTCACACCGATGGCATACTAAACCCCAATCACTTTGATTCTTCCTCGTGACCGCAAAAGAAGGCCTCCTGTTGCGCCACTGGTGTTTATCTCAGTTCGGCTAACATCAGTACCAATGCTTTGGTTTGCAGATGGAGCATTACTTCATAAAAAGCAAGCTAAAGGCCAGAGAAATAAAAAGATAAAAAAGCATAAATCTCACACGCAGGCCACCACATGAAACTTATTCATGGATCTCACGACTATTCACAAAAGTGTTGTATTTATACGCCCATAACATGCAGTTTTACTCTGAGGTCATGGATGATTTTATTTGAGGCAACCAAATGAGGTTACGAAGGGTCGCAAAGAAGTGATGCTTCTGTAAATGGTAAGTCCAGAGATCAAAATCAGTACAAATGTTTCTTTGTGGTAACCCAACTAGTGCGGACTAAATTTTGAAACACGCGGCATTTCTAGAGTACCAAATCCATCTCTGCCCAGATTAGCTCGAAATGTGGAGCTGTCCTCCTATGCTCTGTATATTTATGCTTTGAGTTGCATTCTTTTGCTCTAATGAGCATGGGAACAGCAAAACACAAACATAATGATGCTCCGACGCTCACCCGCTTTGATTCCACGGATAGAGAAATAATAACATTCCGCGATCACTCATGGACCAGTTCCTTGCTTGTTGGCAACAAGAGAAACAAGTGTGTCTCAAAATCTCTGCTATACTCATATCAGTTTCCTCTAACATCTCGACAAACTTTCAGTAACCCAATCAACCCCCTGCACTTTCATCTGCTGGCAGGAGAAATAAAAATATAAAAAGGCTATTGGAAAGTTATTCGTGGATCTCACTAGTTTTTTTCCGTGAGTACGCCAATGGCACTGTATCATATTCTTATATCAGCATTGTAGTCGCAAAGTGTTGTATTTATATGTCCATAGCATGTAGTTTCGGTTTGTGGCCATGAAGATCCCATGTTATATCCATGCAAATGGCGTGAAAGATCAGATTGATGATTCTCTCCTTCCGTTTGGGAAATGCTATCTGGCGAACGCGGGGAACCAGATCATGACGAACGCCCCCGGATCCGTTAGATCTGCATCTGACGGTGGCGTTTTTACGCCAAAAAACCTCCACAATTAAAAAAAAACTGCCATCGCAGTTTTAAAAAATGCCAACCCAACCTCTCCGCACACACACAAAACTGCCATGAGGCCTTTCGTAAATGCCATGCTTTCCAGTGAACGTTCGGATTGGTGTCCTTTCATTTTAGTCACGCAATATCAGTGTAGTTGTTATACACCGAGTCATAATTTCTGAAACTTTGTGACTTTGATTATGACAAATGTTGTAGGTGATTGTGTGCAGTGTGTCTGGGTGTAGCCACAACTTTTTCAATATATATATGCAGGACTACATAAATGTTGCTACATGAACCGCGGAACTTCTACTCCCTAATCAGCTTGCAAAACAGTCTTATATTATGAGACAAGGAGTATATTATGCAAATTTCAAATGAAAGAACTCAATATATTTTTACCGGACTTTTTGCATGCAAAATACTCCTAGTACTCATATACTACGTGATACGTCACAGTAGCTAGCTTCCGGATCAGGTGTGTCAAAAAATGATGTCTTCGTCCCTCTGGCCGTCGCCACTGTCCAGCATGGTGGCGGCGGTGCCGAGGGAGACGCCGCGCTTGAGTGCGACCTCGCCGGCGACCTTCTCCCCGGCGTAGAGCTTCGCGGACTCCATCTGGCGCTCCAGCTCGCGCTGCTTGACGGCCTGGATCTTCTTAAGACGGAAGAACTCCTCCCTCTCCTGCTCGTCAAGCTCGCCCCTGATGTACGTAACGGTGTTCTCCAGCTGCGGCTTCACCACGTGCTCCAGCGCGTTCACGCGCCGGTTGGTCGTCTTGATCGCCTCGTCCAGCGTCAGGAACGACGTCTGCAGCGACGCCAGCTCCACCAGCAGCTCGACGGCGCGGGCGTGCGCCGCACGGCAGGCCGACACCTGCTCCCCGCCGCCGGCGAGCCCGGCGAGCAACGGCGCCCTGGCGCCGGCGCCGTCCGTGAAGTGCTCAAAGCGGGGGAGGCGGACGCCGGCGATGTTGTCGTGGCGGGCGCGCACGCGGAGGCGGGCGGGGCCGGCGACGGACTGCTGGATGACGTGCCGGAGGGGCCCGCCGGCGACGTAGAGCGCCTCGGCGAGGGAGAGGGAGGCGCCGCGCATGGAGTCGCCCACGGCCTCCTTGGCGGCCACGATGCGCTTGAGGATGGCTCGGAACTGCACGGTGAGCGCGTCCGACTTCTTCTTGAGCAGCGCGTGGCCGCGGGTGGCCGCCGCCAGCCGCGCCTTGATCATGCCCATCACCGTCACCGTCGGCACCACGTTCAGCCGCTGTCCCTGCCCCGCCATGCCGCGCCGCCGCCGCCGGAAGCTACCTAGTGTTGGCTCTGTATACTTTTTCTTTCTGCGGAGAGACTCTGTATACTTCTTGATCTGGCGAGCTCGCACCAATTATAGATGCATACGCAGGCGCCAAAGGGACACGTCGGCGTGTGTCGGGATGGTTCAGGAGAAGATGACACACACTGACACACACGAGAGTGCAACATCTGGTGCATGGATGCTCATGCTATTTGGACTATCTTAAGACTTGTGTAGCTATCTGTTCAGTTGTTCATCGCCAGAAAACAGCTGAGCTGGTACACAAATAGTCTCTCGATCCGTTCGGCCATGCATTTTCTGGCTCAGATTCAACTTCATTCGACGAACCCGAATTGAGCCTATGTCATGCAAGCGCATATCTGCAGGGAATATGAAATATCTGGTCGCAAGTCCATCTGATCCATGGGTTTCAAACTATTGCTTGTTGATCACTGTTTTCACCGCTTCGAGTTTTTTTTACCTTTGGTCTGTGTTTATTTGTGCGTGTGTTGATGGTGATTGTGTGTATCCTAGCTATGCATAGTTCCATCGCATATGTGTTCATTGTGTTTGCATCCACTTGATGCTTCATGTTGAGATAATAAAATCCATCATTTGTCGGGAAAAAAAGTCCACCTGATCCTTATCTAGCTTTTGAACTATTTGCTCTTGTGGAGGGTAGGGTGGATGCGCCGTGTGAGGTCTATCTACCTACCGTGTAATCTCTTATAGTTTATCTTCTATAAGGCTATGGTAAACCTTTGGCGTACCCAAAAAAAAAAACTATTTGCTTTTTGAGCTGTAGCCTGTAATGTGTTAACTCCTACTTCTGTTCCGTGTTGTTTTGAACTAAAACCACGACATGTGTTATGTTGTTTAACTCTATACTGCACATCTTTTGCGAGAACAATAAACCAAATATTATCAAAGATCCAAAGCTGATTTTATCTTGAAGGGAGATAGTAATACACGATACTTCCAATTGTTCACCAATGCTCGGCATAGGAAGAATGTATTTTTAGTCTCCAACAAGATAAGAGGCGGATCGAAGGTCAGGAAGTTCTCAAAAGCTCTATCACCAAATACCACAAATCTCTGTCCAGGGCGCTGTATGAAAGGAATTTCACCCTTGATGAAACCCGGACTGATGATATTTCACGAGTCACGGCAGAAGAGAATGACATCCTCACAGCAGCTTTCTCTGAAAATAAGATGAGAGCTGCGGTGTTCCACATGAAACATAACAAAGCTTCAGGCCCTGATGGCTTTCTCGCAGAATTCTATCAGAATTTCTGGAATGTCATTACATTGTTTTCATGCCGGCCAACTCGACCTATCCAAGCTGACCTTTGGTGAGTCGCCCAAAATTAAAGAGGCTGAGCGGATCCAGCAATTAGACCAATATGTCTTCTTAATGTCAGCTTCAAGATTTTTCCCAAAGTGGCTACTAATAGGCTCAACACGACGGCTGACCATGTCGTACGACCATCTCA